ACACACACACACACATTAAGCCTGCTAGTGTCTCATCAGGCCACATTTTTTCACTTTATTGGCATATATAGAATTGAAAAATCAGGGCTGCTCACCAGACTGAAAGCTGAAAAATATCTCTGAAGAAGATAATTGGAAATCACCTTGCTGACAAAAAAATTACATGGATGTAGTCAGAAAGACTCAAACCAGATACAGGACCATCTTTATTTTTTAAAAGTTGAATAAATAGTTGTTTTCCTTATATCCTGGAGAGCAGTCTGTATGCTTATCAACAGTAGACACATAGAAAGCATAATTCTGTTTTATCCAGGGGACATAAAGGTGAGGGGTGCTAGATGTTACCTAGTTTGGGTAATGAAATATCTGCAAGAAAACAACCAAGCTCAGAGAACACCAAGGACTCCTCATTTCAACCCTGAGCTACAAATATTCTCCTTTATTGATAAAGATTCAGACTATTTGAGCATCCATTTGAATTTTTGAATGCAATTAAAAGGACTTATTTACGGTTGCAAAATAATGAAAAATATATAAGATTGTTTGAAAAATCAATTTTATGGAAAAATGTATCAGAACTGGCATCTCTCTTGGAAGTGGATGGTCATTAGATTTTGCTATGTAATATAATACACTATCCAGAAGAGATTCAAAAATGAAATGGAGTTCTCAAATGACATGATTCATTCTTGCCAGATGTTCAAAAATCTTCTCTCTCCCCCATTTTTCTGCCCAATCCTGTATAGGCATAAATCAGGAAGTCTATTGCACTTATAATGAATAGCTAGACATGGCTGAAGGGTTGCTTTTGACTTGAATTACAACTGGTAGCATTGCCGTTGCTAACTCTAAATGAAGGGGCAGGTTCCACTTTGCACATGATGTAATGACAGTAAAATACATTATTGCTTCAATTCATTTACTCATAAATTCCAAATGTGATCATTCTTTATAGGCTGCTCGCATGCAATTCATATAAGTCATGCAATGTTAATTGCTGCTGTTACCAGCAATTATTGCATTCTGTATTAGTACAGATTTTTTTTTAAATGGGAATGCCACATATCATTTCAAGCATATTGATATCAACTCTAATGTTAGAGTATTTTACTAGAAAAGGGTAGGTTGCTTGGTTTGACTATAAATCAGTCATAAGTC